GCCTGGGGGAGCCTCGCCTGACCCTCCCCCCACACCCGCCCTCCCCCTCGCTGCAGGCCGACATCGCCGACCTCTTCCCCCGCCTCCTCTCCTCGTCGGACGACAAGGACAAGGAGGGGCGACCCCACTCGACGTCGCGCAACGGGACGCCGCCCGTCCTGAGCGCGCCGCCAAACGTACAGCTCGCCGAGGCGGCGGCAAGGCTGTGAACGGCGTCTCTTCACACCTGCAGCTGTGAACAGGTACAGATCGCCGAGGCCGCGGCCGCCGCCGCGGGCGAGCGACACGGCGACGGCGCCGACGCCGTTCCGGCGGCGCGCAGCGGCGGCGCCCTGCCCGCGAAGCCGTCGCCGCTCGCGCGGGTGAGCGCCGAGGCGTCGGGCCTCGTGGTGCCCCCCTCGCCGCGCTCGTCGGGCAACGTCTCCTCGATGACGCTGCAGCGCGTGAGCGGCGTCACCTTTTCGCACCTCGTCACGTCGCGCTGCCTCACGCCCGGCCGGCTTACGGCTGTGAACGGCGTCTCTTCACACCTGCAGCTGTGAACAGGTCGCGCTGCCTCACGCCCGGCCGACTCCGGCTGCTCCTCTCTGCGCTGAGGCGGCTGCACTCCTCCGAGGGGGTGGCCTAGACACTTCCCTAGACACTTCCTAGACACTTCCTAATAGGCGGCTGCACTCCTCCGAGGGCGACCCGGCCTCGCTCCTGCCCGAGGCGGAGGTCGACCTGGGCGCGAACTACCTGCCCAAGCTCCGCAAGCGCTATTCGACCCACGAGTCGCTCTACACGTCTGTGAACGGCGTCTCTTCACACCTGCAGCTGTGAACAGGCGCTACTCGACCCACGAGTCGCTCTACACGTCTGTGAACGGCGTCTCTTCACACCTGCAGCTGTGAACAGGCGCTACTCGACCCACGAGTCGCTCTACACGTCGCTCTGCCCGACGGCGCCGCAGATGCACGCCAAGATCTGCTCGGAGCTGGAGCTCTACATGGCGACGAGGCGGTTCCGCCACGCGCGCGTCATCCATGGAGACCCCGCAAGGCTGTGAACGGCGTCTCTTCACACCTGCAGCTGTGAACAGGCGCGCGTCATCCATGGCGACCCCGTCTTCTCGAACGTGCTGCTCACCGACGCGCCCTCCGTCTTCCTGCTCGACATGCGCGGCGAGGTCGGCAGCACGCTCACGCTGCAGGGCGACATGCTGTACGACCTGTCCAAGGTGTACCAGTCGCTGCTCGGCTACGACTTCATCATCCTCAACCAGCCGCTCAACGAGCGAGACGCCGAGATCCTCGAGGAGCTGCGCGGCGAGTTCGCCGCCTTTGTCGCCGCGGAGTACGCCGACGAGGGCGTCGAGATGCACGACGTCGTCAAGCTGACCGCGTCGCACTACTTTGGCATCGTGCCGCTCCACCAGAACCAGAGCCACCGGCTCGCGTACCTCGAGACGTGCAAGGCGCTCCTCTCGTCGCTACCGCCGTAGGGCCTGGCGCCGCTGCGCGGAGGGGGAGCGCGGCAATCGGCATCTGTGACTGCTCAACGCGCCCGGGGGGGCGCAAACCGCACACTGCTGTCCGCAAAACTACGAGTTTCCCGAAGTTGCGGGTGGGTGTGATGTATATAAGCAGAGGAGTCGAGAGGAGAGGGAGGGGCGTGTTTTTGTCGTACCATAGCGCTCTCTCCCCTTCGTCAACGTATACGATGTAATGTGCCCCTCCTCCCGTCCAAACTCCAATTGAATAAAAATAGCGCCGAGTTTCCCGCCTTGGCGCGGGGCGGGTGTGTCGACGCGGCGGCTTCGCCGCCGAGTGAGTGGCGCGCTGCGCGCGCAGTTGCATGCCTCTGCGCCCACCGCCTCGTGCATGGAGCCACGGTACCCTGTGGCACGGCAATCAAAGGTCTCGTCAACTCCGGGCCGGATGCATGCCCTCAATGGTCGTGAGTGTCGGTGCTAACCCTAGCCCTAGCCTCCCACGCCTGAGCTAGCCCTAGCTGTGGATGCTAGCCCTAGCCCTAGCCCTAGCCCTAACCCTAACCCTTACCTGTCTCGCCACTCATCTCTGACCGGAAGGTTCCGTGTAACCCTAGTCCCGCTCGGCCCTAACCCTAGCCGGGCTCCCCGGGCAATCTCTCAACCCTAGCTAGCCCTCGAAGCTAGCCCTAGCCCTAGCCCTAACCCTTGCCCTAGCCCTGGGCCGGGAATGGACCCCACCGTTCTGGTCCAACCATTGTGGCTTCCGCTTGACCCAGTCGTCCTACAGTTGGATCCAAGGGGATGGTCTCACCGCGTACATCTCCCTCTAACCCTAGCCGCAGCTAGTCTCGCCGCTTCGCACAAGCCTGACCCTGGGGTGGCTAGGAATGGGCCCCACCGTTGCTGTCCCAATCATTGTGGCTTCCGCTTGCAAATCGTGCACGTTCCATCACTGTTCAGATGTTGGCGGCAGACGCCCGGTCCGCACCGGTCGACCACAAACTTCTTCGGAACATCCTTGTGATTCTTCGGCTGCAGCTTGCAGTGCTAGGACGCATCGCCTGCTCATTGCCGTGAACAACACAAAAGGCCCACAACGTGAGACGCCGTCGTCGCACGCTCTGGCGCGAGCGGCGCGTAGCCGGTTGCTCTAGCGGGCATGTTGGTTCGGGGTAGGGCGCCACCGCCCTCTGATCGTCACGGCGGCGAGGCCCTCGCGCCTCGGCTCGATGAGCACTGCATCCGTCCCCTCAATGCGGCGGCCGACGAGGCCCCACAACATGCGAGACGTCGTCATCGCGCGAACGGTGCGTAGCCGCTTGCTCCAGCACAGCCGCCCGTCGCACGCGTGATTCGGCGAACAATCGCTTATCTGTTCACAGAGTCTCAAGTGTGAACAGCGCCTCTAACGGGAAGCGAGTGCGGCGCCGTCGCGCTACTCTCGCAGCGCCCGCGCTGCATTAAAGGCGTGGGGAGTAGCACGCGCCCCCCGCACGCTGTAAACGCGGCCTCGTGATCCGTCGAACCTGTTCATAGCTCCGAACGTGAACGGCGCTCTTCATTCACACGTTAACCGTGAAAACCCCTGTTCGGCACCCTGTCGCGCCGTTTAGCCACGGCGAATTCCCTTTTCTTTCGTCGCCAAGCAGAGGTTTGATTTTCCGTCCTAGGACGTACGTCATTTCGAGGCGCGATTTCGGTTCTCGCGTGTATCTCCGCGCAATGGGAGTTAGCGCGCTCGCTCTGCAGGGCGGCGCCTGCTAGCCGAGCGCGAATGCCTGGGTCGCTGAGCTCGCGCCGGTGGCCAACTGCGCCTCCGTGGCGACGCGCTCCGGCCACGAGCGACGTGCCAATCTGCACTTTGAGCTCGCTTGGCAGCCGCCGAGTGCGAGAGGAATTTAAACGGCCGAGCCGGCCAGGCAGCCAGCCGACTTCCCGCACCAGTCAGCGCACGTGCGGCCGCGCGTGTACGGGCGTACACGCGCGGCCGCACATGCTCCGCCTCGACGGCCGCCTCGCGCTCGCTCGAGGTCTGCTCCGCCCGAGCAGCGAGCTCTCAGGTGCGGGCTCTCGGGGCGCCGACCAGCTGGTAGGGAGGAAGGTCGAGCGCGCCGCCGCGGAGCCAGGGCAGCGCGACCGGGGCTGGGACCGTGAGCGGCGATCGCGCTCCGAGTCGCCCAGACACGACGAGGCGCGACGGCCGTTGAGCGGAGGGCTGGCGAGCAAAAAGAGGCGCCTCCGGGCGCAAACTTCAGAGGGACTCTTATGAGTTATGCTCTGCATACCCCCGAGGGGAATCCCTAGGGTCAGTTTTGCTGCGGAAGAAAAACACGCGCCCCGCGCGCGCGGTACCTCTACAGAATTTGGGCGGCCCGCTTCGCATTTGGGCTTGTCCTGGACTTGCGAAATTCAAGGTGTGTGGGGGGTGGGGGGGGGGGGGGGACAAAGGGGTTGTCTCTGCTGGTTGGTATACACAAATATATAATCTCGGCTGCCTCGGTCGGCTATCTCTCTATTCTCGGCTATATCTTGCCTGTATCTCGTCTGTATCTCGTCTGTATCTCGCTGTATCTCGCCTGTATCTCGGCTATATGTTTGTCTCGCGCCTTGCTATGCTGTAACTCGGTCAGACAGATGGGGGGGGGGAGAGAGAGAGAGATGGGCCGATCGAAGCGAAGGCTAGAGTGCAGGGCGCAGCGGAGGGGGTCTCCCGCCGCAAGCAGCGCCGGCCCCACCGCCCCGCGCGGATGCCTAAGAGGCATGATGGGCGGCAGCCGCCCCCAGACCGTTCGGTGGCAGCCAGTGAGGCGGTGCCCTGCTCGCTCGTGCCGCAGATCGCTCGAGCGCCGTGCCGAGTTTTTTCTACGCCCGGGTTTGGGGGCAGCTCCCTCTCGCCCGACCTGCCCTGCTGCTGTCTCTCGCCCCTCTCGCCGCCATACGCCGCGGCCACGCTCCAGCGCGCTCGCCATGCACCCCCTCGGCGCGGCGCGGCGCCCGACCGCTCGTCGGCGCGGCCTGCTCGGCGCCGCGCCTCTCGTTCCACCGCTCCGACTCCGCCACTTCACCGAGGCGGCACGCTGACCTGCGCTTGATTCGCTCGCTGGTTCTAAGTTACTTGCGCCTCGCCCCCGACCACCTCGCGCCTCGGCCGGCGAAATCGCGGCGCGCGGCCGCTGCTGCTCGCAAGGCTGGCGAGGTTGAGGCGGCCGGCATGGCGGCTGTCAGCGGCGGCGGGTGCGGCTTTGTGCTGGTCGCGGGCGGGCTGGGCGAGCGGCTGGGCTACTCGGGGATCAAGGTGCAGCTCCCGTCGCAGCTGACCACCGGCACCACCTACCTCGAGCTCTACATCCGCCACATCCTCGCGCTGCAAGGGAGCGGCGCGCCACTGCCGCTCGCAATCATGACCTCGGTGAGGGGCGCCTGCCGCGCTGCGCGGCGCCGCGCCGCCCACTCTCGCCGCCGGGCGCCGCCTCCCGTCCGCGCCCTCGCACCCACGCGCCGCCGCCCGCCGGCACTGCAGGGGGACACCGACGCGCAGACCCGCGCGCTGCTGGACGCAAACGCAAACTTCGGCATGAGGGCGGGGCAGGTCGCGGGGGGGGGGGGAGCTGCACCCGCCCGGGGGTCTCGTCGTGGCCACGCGGCTTAAGGGGCGGCGCCGCGTGCCCTCAGGACATTGGCTGGAGGCTGAGCGGCCAGAAGGGCAGCCTGGCCGAGGGGGTGGTTGCGGCGCGCCACTTCAACGAGGTGCAGATCTCGGGCGACCTTGTCATCAAGACGGCCGCCACCTCGGTGCTGCGTGGCGAGATGTTCTTCTACAGCCGCATGCCGGCGCGCGCCGCCTCCGTGCCGCCGGACCGCGGCGGGAGCCTTGCCTGGGGGAGCCTCGCCTGACCCTCCCCCCACACCCGCCCTCCCCCTCGCTGCAGGCCGACATCGCCGACCTCTTCCCCCGCCTCCTCTCCTCGTCGGACGACAAGGACAAGGAGGGGCGACCCCACTCGACGTCGCGCAACGGGACGCCGCCCGTCCTGAGCGCGCCGCCAAACGTACAGCTCGCCGAGGCGGCGGCAAGGCTGTGAACGGCGTCTCTTCACACCTGCAGCTGTGAACAGGTACAGATCGCCGAGGCCGCGGCCGCCGCCGCGGGCGAGCGGCACGGCGACGGCGCCGACGCCGTTCCGGCGGCGCGCAGCGGCGGCGCCCTGCCCGCGAAGCCGTCGCCGCTCGCGCGGGTGAGCGCCGAGGCGTCGGGCCTCGTGGTGCCCCCCTCGCCGCGCTCGTCGGGCAACGTCTCCTCGATGACGCTGCAGCGCGTGAGCGGCGTCTCTTCACGCCTGCAGCTGTGAACAGGCAACGTCTCCTCGATGACGCTGCAGCGCGTGAGCGGCGTCACCTTTTCGCACCTCGTCACGTCGCGCTGCCTCACGCCCGGCCGGCTTACGGCTGTGAACGGCGTCTCTTCACACCTGCAGCTGTGAACAGGTCGCGCTGCCTCACGCCCGGCCGACTCCGGCTGCTCCTCTCTGCGCTGAGGCGGCTGCACTCCTCCGAGGGGGTGGCCTAGACACTTCCCTAGACACTTCCTAGACACTTCCTAATAGGCGGCTGCACTCCTCCGAGGGCGACCCGGCCTCGCTCCTGCCCGAGGCGGAGGTCGACCTGGGCGCGAACTACCTGCCCAAGCTCCGCAAGCGCTACTCGACCCACGAGTCGCTCTACACGTCTGTGAACGGCGTCTCTTCACACCTGCAGCTGTGAACAGGCGCTACTCGACCCACGAGTCGCTCTACACGTCGCTCTGCCCGACGGCGCCGCAGATGCACGCCAAGATCTGCTCGGAGCTGGAGCTCTACATGGCGACGAGGCGGTTCCGCCACGCGCGCGTCATCCACGGCGACCCCGTCTTCTCGAACGTGCTGCTCACCGACGCGCCCTCCGTCTTCCTGCTCGACATGCGCGGCGAGGTCGGCAGCACGCTCACGCTGCAGGGCGACATGCTGTACGACCTGTCCAAGGTGTACCAGTCGCTGCTCGGCTACGACTTCATCATCCTCAACCAGCCGCTCAACGAGCGAGACGCCGAGATCCTCGAGGAGCTGCGCGGCGAGTTCGCCGCCTTTGTCGCCGCGGAGTACGCCGACGAGGGCGTCGAGATGCACGACGTCGTCAAGCTGACCGCGTCGCACTGCCTCCGTCGATCCCGCCTCCGCCAAGCCCGCCGAGCCCGCCTCCGCCAAGCCCGCCGAGCCCGCCTCCGCCAAGCCTGCCGAGCCCGCCTCCGTCGATCCCGCCTCCGCCAAGCCCGCCGAGCCCGCCTCCGCAGAGCCTGCCGAGCCCGCCTCCGTCGATCCCGCCTCCGCCAAGCCCGCCGAGCCCGCCTCCGCCAAGCCCGCCGAGCCCGCCTCCGCCAAGCCCGCCGAGCCCGCCTCCGCCGAGCCCGCCGAGGCCGACTCCGCCGAGCCCGCCTCCGCCAAGCCCGCCGACATCGCCTCCGCCGAGCCGGGCGCGGCCGCGGGAGAGAAGGTCTCCTTCTTCTACGAGGGGGTAGACATGACTATCATCCTCCCCGAAGGCGTCGCCCCCGGGGAGCGGCTGCCGGTCACTATTCCTAACGTCGCCGAGGCCAAGGCGCGCGAGGCAGCCGCGGCCAAGGCGGCCAAGGCGGCCGCCGCGGCCGCGGTCCCCGCGCCGCCGGCCGCCAAGCCGCCTCCGGCTGCCTCCGGCGGGCTTGGCGGAGGCGGGCTCGGCGGGCTTGGCGGAGGCGGGCTCGGCGGGCTCGGCGGAGGCGGGCTCCAGTCTGGCTTGATCTATGAGCCGCAGCCAACCAGGGAAGAGCAGATTGTCGCATTGCAGGCACAGATAAAGGCGTTGCAGTCCTCGCCGGACACCTCGCCTTCGGTTGCCAACATGCCTCCGGGAGGCGGGCTTGGCGGAGGCGGGCTTGGCGGAGGCGGGCTCGGCGGGCTTGGCGGAGGCGGGCTCCGCGGGCTCGGCGGGCTCCGCGGGCTCGGCGGGCTCCGCGGGCTCGGCGGAGACGATTCGACTTACTCGACGCAGGGGGATGAGCCGCTGATCGCCCCTTTCTCGACCTTTGTCCCACGCGCCAAGACTAAGAATGTCGGCTGGACTCCGGAAGAGGACCAGATCATCAGAGAGAACTATGAGGCGTACACCGTCGATGGCAGGGTTAGATTTAAGACGATGGCCCTTGCGCTCCTGCCGGAACGCCTCGGGCAAGACGGCAAGGGAAATCCGCTCAAGAACCGCTTCTACCTCCTGCAAAGCAAGAATAAGCTCTAGCTCTCACGTTCTCTCTCGGGTGGGCAGTCACCTTCTCTGTCTCGTGTGGGGCTGTATATGGGCTCTTGCCTCCCCTGCTCTCTCTGTCTCTTGCCTCCCCTGTTCTCTCTCGGGTGGGCAGTCACCTTCTCTGTCTCGTGTGGGGCTGTATATGGGCTCTTGCCTCCCCTGCTCTCTCTGTCTCTTGCCTCCCCTGTTCTCTCTCGGGTGGGCAGTCACCTTCTCTGTCTCGTGTGGGGCTGTATGTGGGCTCTTGCCTCCCCTGCTCTCTCTGTCTCTTGCCTCCCCTATTCTCTCTCTGGGTTTGTTGCGTTCTTTTTGATGGTTGAACATTGATTCTAGCACCGCCAGACGCGGCCGGTGCGCCGGCGGCGGCCCGGCCGTCTGAGCCCAAGTGCCGGCCACCTAGGCCGCGAGAAGCGTTCTAGGGTCGCGGAGAGCCGCGTCTGGGTCCACTCATGAGCTGACCTGAGTCTCACCGGGTGGGGGAAAAAGGAGATGGGCGCTGACGACCGACCCGGCGCCGCCGCAGGCGCAGCCGGTGCCGGGGGCGGCCCGGCCGTCTGAGCCCAAGTGCCGGCCACCTAGGCCGCGAGAAGCGTTCTAGGGTCGCGGAGAGCCGCGTCTGGGTCTACTCGTGGCCTAGGCCGAGTCTCACCGGGTGGGGGAAAGGAGATGGGCGCTGACGACCGACCCGGCGCCGCCGCAGGCGCAGCCGGTGCCGGGGGCGGCCCGGCCGTCTGAGCCCAAGTGCCGGCCACCTAGGCCGCGAGAAGCGTTCTAGGGTCGCGGAGAGCCGCGTCTGGGTCTACTCGTGGCCTAGGCCGAGTCTCACCGGGTGGGGGAAAGGAGATGGGCGCTGATGGAACACTATCTGCGCGGAGGGCGCCAAGGCAATCGCCGAGGCGCTGCGCGGCAACGGGGTGCTGAACACGCTCAACCTCCACGGCAACAATATTGGCCCGAAGGGTGCCGTCGCGTTCGCCTCCGCTCTTCGCGGCAACGCGGTGCTGGAAACCCTCAACCTCCGCGGCAACGACATTGACTCGGACGGCGCAGCAGCGATCGCCGAGGCGCTACAGGGCAACAGGGTGCTGACCAATCTCGATTTGTCCAGCAACCACATCGGCGGGACCGGCTGGATCAAGGCGAGCGAGGTCGAGGGCGAGTCCAAGGAGGTCGGGGCTAAGGTGAGCTACAAAGGTGCCGAGATGGTTGTGAGCCGGGGGGTGGATTCCGACGGCGACCTGCAGCTGGTCCATGTAGTGCAGACGTGCGCACTCGCGATTGCCAAGGCCCTCGAGGTCAACGCGGTGCTGAAAACCCTCGACCTCCACGAAAACGAGATCGGCGACAAGGGCGCGAAGGCGATCTGCGGCGCTCTCGCAGTCAACGGGGTGCTGACCACCCTCAACCTCGCCTACAACAACATCCGCGCCGAGGGCGCCACCGCAATCGCCGAGGCATTGCGCGGCAACGTGGTGCTGAAATCCCTCAATCTCGAGCAAAAAAGGCGAAATGCCTCAACCTCGCGCTGGATTTTTGTGCCAGAGAGCGACGTCTTTCTAGATGCGGTGAACGGGCGGGAAGGGTTTGGGGTAGGGATGTGACGGAGTGTCTCGAGTTCTCGTTAGTGCAGAATATGTGCGACCCACCCAACGCGCAAACACCTGCCGAGGCGGCGCCAGTCGCGGCCAGCGACATGTGGGTTGTGATCAAGGAGTTTGAGCCCCCTGAGAATACTCTTTGGGCTGGCGGCTCGTACGAGGTGTCAATGACAGTCGTGAAAGCAGGGGATAGCGTCACCGCGATCAAGATCGCAAAGGCCAAGGATAAGCCAGGAGACAAGACGCCCCAGGTCAGGGCGTCGGAGGCAGCTCACGCTTGCTGGAGCGCAACAAACATCTCCGACCTCGATGATTTGACTGTCATCGGTTTCACTGGTTGGAGTGCGTAACAGTATAAACGTAAAATGACTCCCAGTCCCGCCCCGGTCCCCTTTTTCCCGGACTCACGCCGCGCCCGCCTCCGCGTTGGCCTTCGTGGCCTTCGCAAAGCGTGGCATCACCCAAAGCGTCGGCCCGATCCAGTCTCCCTGCAGACGCTCCTCCTCGGCAGCGGAGGCGTCAGCCTCGCGCCGCTTGGCGGTTGCGTCCTTGACGCGCAGGACTTCCGCTTCGTGACGCATGCGCGTCGACCACTCCCATTGCACAGAATTTCCGAGAACGACATCGAGTTCCTGGCCGAGAAAGGCATCGCCGAGACAGGTTAACCGATGGAGACGGGGGAGACAAGCTCTTGCTCAAAGTCATCGTGTCCAGTTCCTCCAGCGTGGAGTCGGAGGACCCGCCCTTTGATCCCGGGGGCGTTGCACACGCTATTCACGATCTTGTCCACCACATCCTCAGCGAGAATGTCTACGCGCGCTACCTTGTAGAGCGAGACCTGAACGACCAATTTGCGGATCCCCGAAACCTTGACCCCAAACAGGTCGTGAAGGGTAACAGAGGCGATCGCCTCCGATGCGTACGATGCGAGCTCGTCGACTGAAAGATCATTGAGCTTGTTTGAGAGGAGCTTGAGTTTGTCCGGCGTGATCTCGTGAGCATCGAGGGTATGCTGGCCGAGTTCGAGTGGGTCGTGGGTGGCACCTTCGAGCAGGTGCTGCAGCATGCTGGTAGCGGCGCGGCGCGCGTAGCCATCCGGCCGGCGGATCTGCAGGCAGTGGCGCGGGGCGCTGACAAGGAGGCAGCGGCGCACGCGTGGAACCAAAAGGTGCAGCAGTGTCCCTCGATGTAGATAGTCCGCCGGCTCGCCCTTCTCGTTCTTGTTAGGTCCACGGACGGAGAATTCTCCCGTAGAGAATTCTTAAAATACAGCCTCTCCCACAACCAGAGAAGAAAAAAGAACCCCTTCGGCGAAGAAGTATTCGAAGGCGCACCGTTGCTGTCGGCAGTGAGAAAAGAAGAAATCCATGCACACTCAGTGAGCTTTGGCGGGCGGAGCTCGCCCCTGTTGGCACAAGGATATGTGGCGACTCCTCTGCGTGGCCTCCATCGCGCTGCGTGCGCGTCACCACCCGCGCGCCGACCGAGCGGCTACTGCGGCCGCGGCTTTCGATCGCGTCCACGAGGTGCCCGGAGACGGCGACTGCTTATTCTCAGCGATCGCGGCGGCAGAGGCGCTCGCGGTCGGCTCTATAGTTCCAGCGGGCTCCGCTCTCTCCGCCCGCGCCGCGGAGCTGCGCTCGAGCGCAATGGACCTGCTCTGCCCAACCGGTGTGCCAGACGGCGCGCTGACGCTTGGCGGGCTGCCTGTCGACCTACTCATCGAGCTGCAGCCGGGTGAGGACGGCCGCGGCTACTGCTCGCGTCTGCGGCGACGAGGCGAGTGGGGCTCGACGGCGGAAATTTTAGCGCTCTCGCGCGTGCTCGGGCGGCCAATTTCGGTGCGCACAGACTTTGGCGAGCAGGCGTTTGGAGACGGCGAGGCGAGCGGCGCGCTCGCGCTGCGCTTTCGGGGCAATCATTACGACGCGGTGCGACTACGCGGCGGCGCGTGCGAGGAGACGGGCGCCGAGGAGGCTGTGGGCCGGGTGCTCGACCGGCTGCACGCCACGGCGGCGGCGGCCGACGCCGACGCTTACTTCGCGTTGTTCCGCCCCGAAGCGGTGTTCTATGGCACGGACCCCGGAGAGAGGTGGCAGATGGACGAGTTTCGCGCGTACGCGGGCGCGCGCTTCGCCGCTGGGGACGGGTGGGAGTACTCGGTCCGGGAGCGGCACGTCACCGTGCGTGGGGACGTGGCGTGGTTCGACGAGGCGCTCGATGGGAAGGTCTTGGGGCCGACGAGAGGGACCGGGGTGCTGGTGGACGACGGTGCGGCTGCGGGGGGATGGCGGCTCGCGGCGTACAGCCTCGGCATGGCGGTGCGGAACGAGGTGGCAGGCGAGGTGGCGCGGCTGAACAAGGAGGGGCGCGGTGTGGCGGCGTCGCAGGGCGAATAATGGAAGTGGTTTTAAAGTGATCTCGTTTGTTTCCTTTCGTTTACCCATCTGGCCAGGTAGAGGTGTAAGTTTTATTTATTTATTTATTTATTGTTGATAGCACGCCGGATCGAAGCCTAGCTCTGAAAAAAGAAAGAAAGAAAACGGACAACCCAAGGGAGGGATGGGAGGACGGCACGCCGCCACCACACAGGGATTTTAAGGAGAGGGGTGTGGTGCGCTAGCCGTCGCCCACCCTTGGGCGTCCGCCTCTTCCTATCTCTCTTCGCAGTCTCTCGCCGATTCTCGCTGCAACCTTCATGCCACCTCGCGGTCGTCCCACTCTCGTCGTTCTTTCCCTTGTCGCTTCTTCTTCTGTCGCGTCGCTAGCTCTGAAGACTGTGTCACAAGATGGAAAGAAGTTTCTTGGGCGTTGGGGCGGGCGGCGCGGCGGCGGCGGTATCCGGTAAGGTAAGGTAAGGTAAACTTCTCCACACACACGAGGTGGTGGGGCAAGGGGGGGCAACCCTCGCGTCTCCACGTCTGACGACAGGAGCCCCACAGCATTCAAAGTGCAAGGCCCGGTGCGCGTGGGTGAGCGGTGTGTGTGTGTGTGTGTGTGTGTGTGTGTGTGTGTGTGTGTGTGTGTGTGTGTGTGTGTGTGTGTGTGTGTGTGTGTGTGTGTGTGTGTCACGTCACTGCATCCTCCGCCGGTTCCTCCCGTCGCCTCTTCTTTGTTCGAATGTTTTTCAATCCATCCTTCACGAAGCCCTCCCATGTAGCTAGCGTTCTTGGCGAATGTCTCGAAATGGCCAGCAGGCGCTGTCTGCTCGCGGTCTGTGCGGGCCGCTCGTCCTCCTCGCCCTTCTTTCGTCCTCCCGTCCCTCCCCTCCACCATGGCCTTCTCGGCACTTCTTTCTCCATCCGCCTCGCCCTGCCTTTTCGCATCGTGCCGTTCGCCCTCCATTCGGTGACCTCCATGGCTGTCCGCCCCTTTTTGGGTGCCGCTCTCGATACGGTTGCGTCAACCTCGACGTCGCTGTCGCCCTCCCCGTCCCCGCCGGCGTCCGTGCCTCGGTTCGCGTCATCGGTAGCGTCTCCGTTGTTCCCTCGTGCCCCGCCGTCGCCCTCTCTGCTCGGGCCGTTAGCGATTTCGCTCCTCCTGCGTGTCGCCCCTCCGTCCCCTCCCCTTTCTTCGTCGTCATCGTCGCTGTCGCGAAAGCCCTCCGGTCCCTCGATTCCCTCGCCTATCCCCTCCGCTGCGTCGTCCCAGTTTATATCCTCATCCTCTGCGCACGTCGCGTTGGCTTCCTCTCTCCCCCTTTCCTCCCTGCCCCTCTCGCTATCTGGTGTTAATGGACCCCCTTCCTCTCCCTCGCCACCGTCACCGTCTCCATCCCCGTCGCTACCGCCCTCCATGCCCGCCGCCCTTTGTTTCACACTCGTCTCTGCCATGTCCGCCGTCGCCGCCGTCCTGTCTGCTGCGCTCTGTGCTCCGTGGTACAGTCGCTTATTGTTGCTCAGGATTAGCTCACGCACCAGGACAGCCTCCTGCTCGTTATTTTGGCTTGCCGATATGCATCCAAAGTTCCACGCTAGCTCCTCCTTCGTCACGTCTATCTTTTTGCAGTATCTCGCGAATGCCGTCCGCGCTTGCTGGGGTGTTATTGCGTTCGGATCCGCCCTGGTCCCCGCCCTGTATCCCATCTCCTTGCGGTGGCTCCTGTATGAGTCCCCATATGACCATGTGATTTCTTGGCCTTCCTTGACTCCCCTCTCTGCAAACAGGACCATCACCTGCGCAGCTGCCTTGCCTAATTGTATCTCCTCGTAGCGTACGAAGTGCGTCGCCCTCGTGCCTCGTTTCGGCTCATTCGATGCTGCAGGCCAGTCGAAGTTACAGCGCGCCGCGACGCTGTCAAAGTCGTCCCCGCTCTCGTCGTCACTTCCATCCAGCTGCGTCCCCCCTGCTGCCGTGTGTCGTGATAGTTCGTCTGGTACTGTCTCTGGTGGCTGCGCCGTTCCTGTCCGGAAGATCTCCCCAGTGTAGATGCTACACCGCGGTATCCGTATCGAAAAGCTTACACTACAGCGGCGCCGGTGCCGTCATGCCGACTGCGGTCCGTTCGTAGTTTTACGCGTTTCAAACGAATCACGTTAAACTTTGTGGCCGCACAGGACCCACGCTTTCAAAATCACGGGTGTCGGGTCTCAGTATCGTTGACGCCATTGACCGGACGGGGAGTTGCACCGCGCCCGAGAGCGAGACTCTGACCCTGGGACTACCCGAGACGGGCGAGAGAGCCTGGAAAGTCTAATCAGATAGAGACGCATGCCGGATCAGCCCGCACGCTCGCCATCGGCGCCACCGCCTCCCACGCATTCGCAGCCGGGACATACCGCTCCACCGAGTTTAGGGGGGCGTCGATGCTGGCTCCGCCCACAGCATAAAGCTTGCCGTCAAGCACCGCCACGCCATGAAAGTATCGCGCTCTCGTCATCGGCGCCACCTCTTCCCAGACGTTCGTCATGGGATCGTACCTCTCGACCGAGCTGAGGACGCCGTTGTCGCTGTTGTAGCCGCCCACAGCGTACAGCTTGCCGTCGAGCTCCGCAACGGCGTGA